GAATTGTGGCTTAAATATTGCGAGCCATTTCTATCAAATTAATCCACCCTTAGATGGTATTTATCCTAAGTAATGTATATAGCTTGCTTAACCAAGCTGTTCTAGCTTTTAAAGGGGCACAAGAGAGTCTTACATTATATAAACTACACTTCGTCAAGGAGATAGCAATTTTCATCACGAAAGAGTTAGTGGAGTATAGGTGGTATTTAATCGGCAGCAAAAGTAAAGAATGTCTGACCAAATCATTGTTATTTAATACATACATTCTAAGTCATTCTTGAATATGCTGAAGTTAACCGACCCCTCTTATTTATTTACCTGAAAAGTGTTGTAATAACTTCTCCGTGAATGGCGGACGGAATTAAGCATCTCGTTAGCAGCCAAAAGACGATACAGGTTAGCACCGTACTCGAATACTGAGAGCTGAATAAAACAGGCTGCATGTCGCATTAATGGACTATGTAGGCTCAAAGGCTCGCGAGAAGAGTCCTCAGCATTCGGCGGAGTCAGGCAACCGAGTCGCTGCAGGAACCGCGCCAAGTGTACTAGGCAGACAGTTGTGTAAGTAGAGCAGAGGTGTTTGTCATTCTAGCAGAGTTGTTGAAAGACAAATTAAGTCCATGTGAATAGTGTTAAGATAAAAAAAGCAAGGGATTTTAACTTTTTCTATATTGTTCCTATTTAGTTGTACATCTTTTTCACAAATTGAATGTGCCTTTAAAGGGACTTTGAATAACTTAATCCATACAGCCAAAAACCATTGGTGGCACAACTCCAAAGGAAGTTCTAGAGAATATGATAAATGTCTAGTGAAATGAGATAGAACAAAGCTTGTCTTTTACTAGCTCTTGAGCAAACACAAAATTTCAAGAGACTTCTTTTATTCATGTGTACTAATAAAAATAAGAAAATTGTTATTATATTGAGAAGTATGGAATCGGATTGGCTTAACGGAATTAAATTTTAGGCAAAAACCTTAGCAATGATTAAGTATTCATTAATTTAATCGAAGGTATGAATACTAAGATAGTGTGGCTCTTTGTATGGTCGCGGTCCCCTTTCGTTGTATAGTAGTTGTTTGACCATGTTTTCGCAACTTTATCATATTGGCGAGAAGGCCGAATATGACGATGTTGCGAAAACAGGGTCAAACAAAAACTATGCATTTGTTTCTCTACTGATCAATTGTTGCAATTCTTCGCCAGCTTCTTTATTTTTATACTTGTGAGGAGTAACGTAGTTGGGTGAATAATAGCGAATAAAAAACTCATCACAATAAAATTATAGACAAAATCCCAAAATATATCCTCAGTGAAATTTTATTAAATACTACGTTCAAAATAAATACTCTATTAAAAT